TCGAAAGTTCATTTATCCGAAGCAATTATAACAATGAATATGATTCATATAATGACCAGGGTCAATAATAAGGACCCCAAAAATCGGAATTAGAAAGAATTTTGTATCGTGTCCCTAATCTAACAAATTCCTTGTCATTATAGATGTCTTCACAAGAATCATCTAAAGCTAGAAGAACATTTTCTAACTTTCTTACAGATTGGAATTCGTTGAAATTCATGAACTTCATATTTACTTCGCGAGAAGACACTTTTTCTGAGAATGCAGCTTGCATCTTTTTGTAAGGATATAGAACTGTTTCAAATTTAAGGTAAAAAGTATTTTCAGCAAAAATTTGAAAATTAACTCAGTTTTCCCGGACCCTGAGGTTTCCACAATCGCCATGAAAACTCTTACCGACGTATCAATCGCTTTATTCATATCCTTGACTTTGGTAGTACATAACCAAAAAAGCCGCAAAAAAAATCGAGAACCAAACTGAAGTTTCTTCGCAACTTAATTTAGTGAAAGAAAGTTAGAGAATGCAGAAAGTTAGTAAACTTAGAATTACTACCAATTTCGCAACAAAAAGTTCTTCAGATCATGGCAAAGTAACATATTTATAAAACGTCCATGTTTTTTTTTCAGTGTTTGTCTCGTAGTAAATATACTCTCTTACTATTGTTGCGTCAGGTTCAACTACTGCTGCTGTTGTTTCTGATATTTGAGAAATGATTTCTTCTACAGACGGTGATAGACTTTTTCTCACTACAAATGAAGCTTTAAAAAAATGAACAAGGATTATGAACAGACAAAACTTCATAACGTTTGAAGTCTGTTATTTATGTCATGCATTTCTAGAAGTTTAATGGGATATTTATAGTTGTTTCGTAGAAGATTGTTTTTTTCACGATATCCTCTTTCACAATTGTCTCAATCTCATCTGGCAACTCGCTGCTGTTTAGATCTATCTGAATTCCTGGCTGACGGTTGAGTACTAAGAATAGTACGGGAAAAAATACCCCTGGCTTGCTGGCTAACATTTCTGATAAACTTGAATCTCTGGAAGTATACAAGTTGATCAATAACTGGAAAAAATCTCTTTAATGTAGACAACACTTCATCAGAAACTATTATTTTCTCCTTCCTCTGAACAGTTTGGCCGCTGCAATCAATACGCTCTATTCTTGTTAATGAAATTTTAATATCACCCACTGAGTCATCCACGCACAAAGCATTAAATTTGGTGGTAGGTATGTCTCCACTTTCGCTGATCTCTCGCTATGTTCATTTTTCAAACAAAAACCTTGCTTTTCATCAGAACACAAAGATTCCTGGAGTTATGAGGTATATGTCTAAAGCAATTTTGATGATTTTGGAAATAAAAGTTTTCAACCCGAAGACAACCCAAATCTAGATCTTTTTTGTATCTAGATAGCTTGTTGAAACACAGATGGATTTTCTCTCTAAGTCTTTATCAACCCATAGTGAGTTAAAACTAAACGAATAAACGAATACGCTTTGATAATCAGCAATAATTAGATCGCTCACAGTACCATACTTTTGTTTTGTAGAAATGCACCAAATCATTTGTTGAAGCTCACTCAAATAAAATTGTTCTTTCAAAATTAACTCGTATTCTCTTTGAAATTTCCTTTGTCTTGAGAAACAGGTCGTACTACGTACAGAGTTTGAGAAATATTTTTTCCGTGTTTGAAAACACTTTTAATTTTAACTGTTCATTATCAATATCTTCAGTACACCAAGTTCCCTCTAATTCCATTTTTCTTATTTCAAAACTTGACAAATTTGTCAATTGGTATATTGTGCCCACAAACGGCCGCCGTTTTTGCAGAGTGATTTCAATTTAATGCCTTTCCATGATAAATAAAATATAGCTGAGGTTAAGGAAATGGTTTACTGCTGCCAGCAGTTAAGCTACGGTGCCAAATCGCCGGCGTAATTTTGTTATATACCACTAAGTCAATTCCACGTTCACTAACAAATTTCAAATAGATCGACAGTTCATTTGCCCGAAGCAATTATAACAATGAATATGATTCATATAATGACCAGGGTCAATAATAAGGACCCCAAAAATCGGAATTAGAAAGAATTTTGTATCATGTCCCTAATCTAACAAATTCCTTGTCATTATAGATGTCTTCACAAGAATCATCTAAAGCTAGAAGAACATTTTCTAAATTTCTTACAGATTCGAATCCGTTGAATTTCATGAACTTCTTATTTACTCCGCGAGAAGATACTTTTTCTGAGAATGCAGGTTGCATCTCTTTGTAGGGATATAGGACTGTTTCAAATTTAAGGTAAAAAGTATTTCCATCAAAAATTTGAAAATTAACTCAGTTTTCCCGGACCCTGAGGTCCCCACAATCGCCATGAAAACTCGTGCCGACGTATCAATCACTTTATCCATATCCTTGTCTTTGGTAGTACGTAACCAACCAAGCCGGAAAAAATCGAGAACCAAACTGAAGTTTCTTCGCAACTTAATTTAGTGAAAGAAAGTTTGAGAATGCAGAAAGTTAGTAAAATTAGAATTACTACCATTTTCGCAACAAAAACTTCTTCAGATCATGGCAAAGTAACATTGTTATAAAACGTCGATGTTTTTTTCAGTGTTTGTCTCGTAGTATAGTAAGAATAGTAGGGGAAAATATACTCCTGGCTTGCTGGCTAACATTTCTGATAAACTTGAATCTCTGGAAGTATACAAGTTGATCGATAACTGGAAAAAATCTCTTTAATGTAGACAACACTTCATCAGAAAATATTATTTTCTCCTTCCTCTGAACAATTTGGCCGCTGCAATCAATACGCTCTATTCTTGTTAATGAAATTTTATTATCACCCTCTGAGTCATCCACGCACAAAGCATTGAATTTAGTGGTAGGTATGTCTCCACTTTCGCTGATCTCTCGCTAATGTTCATTTTTCAACCAATCATAGAAAAACCTTGCTTTTCATCAGAACACAAAGATTCCTGGAGTTATGAGGTATATGTCTAAAGCAATTTAGATGATTTTGAAAATAAAAGTTTTCAACCCGAGGACAACCCAAACCATCTAGGTTTTCAACATTTCGGTCAAAGTAATCGGCCTAAAATCATGTCTTATCTTTTCCTTTAGCGTAAAAAACGGCAAGAGAATTTTTCAACGCAAAAATCTGAAGTATTTGATTCAAGTTAATGTAAAGTTTATTACCGTTTTCCCAATGTAGACCGTGAAAATAATTTGTTAATCAGTTGTAAGCTTAGCGTTCGAGCTTTGGCAGTATATTAAAACTAACTGGAGGAAAAAAAGTCTGTCGCTGTAGTCTCAAGTTTTTATTGCTATAACTTTAAGCACGAAAGCGTTTTTCTTGTAACGGAAGCCTTCCAGGTCAAGCACAACTGATCGCTCGCTTAGCATTCTAGTAAATGATAAACTTCTGCTTAATGAAAGGGAAGAAAGCTATTCCACTCAATTGTCCCAATAAACGGTTGTTACAAACCCAGAGCAACATGTAATAGTACGTGGGACCCTCTCGGTGAAAATCGTGTATAAATCCGGCCGCATCGTGCAAAACAGCGTGCAATCGTAAGAATTTGGAATTTTTCAAGTATTTGTCCAAAAAACAGTTATCAATACCAATCAAGCCACCATAAGGTCTCAACGTAATTAAAATGTCGTAGTTAAGATTATCAGAGCTATTAAAAATCAGAACATGCAGCTAGAAAAGAGTTTCGTCGGTTAGAATTATCAGGATAAGTTTGTTTTAAAGAGGTATAAATTTCGTGAACTATTTTCAAATCAATAGAAGTTATTCTGCTTTTTTGCAATTTCATAGTTTATTTTTTGCAACACCTCTCCAACCTGCTAAATTTCAAGCCAGTGAAAAAAAGTGAACTTGCAGATACCATTTAGACTCATTAAGATATCGGTGGTAAGTAAATAAACCACTGGAACTTTTTTGTATCTAGATAGCTTGTTGAAACACGGATGGATTTTCTCTCTAAGTCTTTATCAACCCATAGTGAGTTAAAATCAAACGAATAAACGAATACGCTTTGATAATCAGCAATAATTAGATCGCTGACAGTACCATATTTTTGTTTTGTAGAAATGCACCAAATGATTTGTTGAAGCTCACTCAAATAAAATGGTTCTTTCAAAATTAACTCGTATTCTCTTTGAAATTTCCTTTGCCCTCTCGAGAAACAGGACGTACTACGTACAGAGTTTGAAAAATAATTTTTCCGTGTTTGAAAACACTTTTACTTGTAACTGTTCATTATCAGTATCTTCAGTACACCAAGTTCCCTCTAATTCCATTTTTCTTATTTCAAAATTTGACAAATTTGTCATTTGGTATATTGTGCCCAGAAACGGCCGCCGTTTTTGCAGAGTGATTTCAATTTAATGCCTTTTCATCATAAAATATAGCTGAGGCTAAGGAAATAGTTTAATGCTGCCAGCAGTTAAGCTACGCTGCCAAATCGCCGGCGAAATTTTGTTATATACCACAAAGTCAATTCCACGTTCACTAACAAATTTCAAATAGATCGAAAGTTCATTTTCGCGAAGCAATTATAACAATGAATATGATTCATACAATGAACCAGGATCAATAATAACGACCCCAAAAATTTAACTTAGAAAGAATTTTGTATCGTGTCCCTTTTTGCTAAGGGGTCATCTGCTTTTTGGGTGGAAATTTTCTTTCGTTCACGAAACCCTAGGATGAAGGTCCTCCAAAAATTAATGGCCATTTTCCTAGGATTTTGCTTTACGTGAGGAGCCCCTTAGGAAGGAACCCCCCCCCCCTTAGGATCACGATACAATACTACTCTTTTGACAGTTCAAATGCAATTTTGAAAATTCGGTTGTAATTTCAACTCTACTTCTCTGTGTCAAGGTCAGCTTTATTTTAGGAAATTAAAACATTGTCCGATAAATTTGGTAAAAGCTATCGATAAATTAGTTAAAACTCATGTCATCGATAACTTAGTTGTAACTTACGTTCCTGGAAAAGATTCACAAACGGCGTAGACTCCCTCAGATTTCTCTTTCTGAGTCCTTGCAGCAGACTCACCCTATCACCAGTCGCAATTCTGAACGCATGGGGTGAGAACACTGGAGTCCTCTGCTGTTCATAGCTGCGACTCACTCCCGCCTCCTCGCCACTGCTGATATTCTCCAGTTTGGTGTCCACATTATCTGTGTTGGGAGGAGAGGACAGCTCACTGGAGTAAGTAGTCTGAGTCTCGGAAGCAGGAGTGGCAGTCTCTGAGGTGGGAGAGGAGGTCTCCGAGGTCGAATTACTCATTCATGCACAATCTGAAAACACGCACGAACAACTGAACGCATCAAATCAAACTTCAAATGCCATTATGCATACAAGCTCTGAAAATCTGAATAGTTGACTAGCAATGGATGCATTAGTCCAATCATGAATAAATTTAAAAAAAAAAAAAAACTTTTTTTTAGGAACACCGATGAAAAAGACAGGTTTTCGGCACTTTATAGTTCAGCAAATCTCGGTTTTTTCCCCATAACTATAGCCAAAAAGCATCAACTTTTGGTTGACTCCTAGTCAAAGGCCATCAAATGTCATTGCCCACACAACTTCCGACTCAAGGCCAACCCACGAGTTGAACGATCATTTTCTTGACATTGTTCGTGAACTGATCGTTATCTTCAGTAAACAAACTCATTTGTGTACATAAATTATTTCCGTACAAATTATGCGTTATAAAAACAATTTGAAGTATTATTCGGAGAAAAAAGAAACATGCTTATGAATTATTTCAGTATATATCATCTGGGGTTGTTTCTATCTTTTCCACATCTGGAGGAAGATGACGGACTAGTGCTAGAAGATGGAGATCCATCCAGCTTCCGCTGTTTTGAGCTAGTCGGACCACTTGCATGTTCTGTTTGCATTGTATTTTCTGAGCTTGGAATTGAACTACTGCTATGTGCTAATAATGTTGCAAGCTTACGTGCATCGTCTGCTTCATGTTGCTTCTAAACAAAATTGAACAGAGCCTAAATGAAGCTTCACATCACTTGTCATACGAGCATGGGTCAATTTGTACCTGTGAAAAAATTAACACCTTTCAAAAAATCGAAAGAATGAAAAGTCTAAACAACAAAAAAATGCCTTAAAATCGTGCAAAAAAAATTTATCGGAATTCCTCCATAAGAAGTTACATTATAATGAGTACTAGCGGGCAACGCACTTCCGGTGCTTCGAATTAAAGACTCATAAAAAACGGCATATATTGGAAATAATATTTGCATCCTTTGAGTGTACTCCGACGGCACCCAATTACAGGGTTGGCAATTTCATTTTCAGTAAAAATTTTTATCAAAAGTTTTCAAATTTTGAAAAACCATACTATTTTGTGAACTTTTTTATCAAAGTTTGTTGAAAATTTTTAAAATGACAGAAACACCTCGCATCTCGGAAACTAAAAGCAATTGAGCATTCGCATTTGGACGCACGATTTGCAACTTCTGCGAGTACTCACAGTAGTCAACTACATGGTCGGGATCTTCAAATTTTGAGAAAACTCAAATTGAAGTTTTCTCATTTCATTTTTAAAATTACAAAGAAAAGTGCCATATCTCGAAAACTAAAAAAAAAATGAGCACTCATATTTGGAGGCAAGATTCGCAACCCCTGAGAGTACTCTGACAGCCCCCAACTACAGGGTTAGGAATTCAACAAATTTTGAAGAAAAAAAGTTTAACTTAAATTTTCTGAACTTTTTTTTGAAAAAATCATTAAAACGTCATATTTCTTAAACTACGAAGTTTTGAGTTGTCGAACTTAAAGGTAAAACGCAACCCCTGTGAGCGCCCTGATAAAGCCTCACTATAGAGCTAGGAACATAAGAAAATTTTAAAATCTTGGTTCTTTGAACAATTAAAAAAAAAACACTACAAACGTCACATCTCAGAAACTGAAAGCATTAGAGCAGTCGCATTGGGACGCAAAATTTGCAACATGAAAATGTGAGGGTATTCTTACGGTACCAAACTACAAGGTCGAGAATTTAAAATATTTTTTGAATTTTTTAAAAGCCACATTTTCTGAAAAATTAAAAAGAAATAAAAAACACGTCATATATCGAAAACTACAAGGATTTGAGCAGTCATATCTGAAGATACGCAACCCCTATTATCCTGAGATTACTCTGACAACTCCCACTACAAAAATGGGAATTTCAATTTTTAAAGAAAAAAATTTAATTTGTTTTCTGAATTTTTTTTGAAAAAAATCAAAAAAAAAAAAGAAAACGTAACGCAATATCTCGAAAAGTACAAAGATTTGAGCAGTCATATCTAAAGGCAAGATACGCAACTTCTGTTAGTACCCTGGCAGGGCCTCACTATGGAGATGAATTTCATTTTTTGTGAAATTTTTTTAAGTTACGTTTTCTAGAATTTTTTTGAGAAATCTCGAAAAATGCTCTATCTCGCAAGCTGAAAAGATTTGGTTACTCATATATGGAGGCCAAAATTGCAACACCTGGTGAAGCCCTGATAGCAATCAAATATCGGGTATTAGTTTTAAACTTTGCGAAATAAACACTGAATTCAAATTGGAAAATCGAAAAATCTTAACCATTGCATCATACGATTTAGCTTAAACGTGAAAAAATTCTTTTGTTCAACATACAAAAATAATACGTTGAAAAAGCTTAAACACGGCGAAAAAGTGAAGCCCGGATGTAACTATATAATGTATTGCTTATGTCATGGAAAATCCATGACGCGGTACACGACAGAAAAACAGGCCAACTTTTCCATTCACAAAAAGAACAGGTACTGTTTGGACTCCGAAAACTGAAAATTTGTAGTCCCAGTCATCGACGTCAACTCTGCGCCACAGGCAAGTCCAAAACTCTTGGGGAGACGCTTGAGCTGAAAATGCGTTATGAAAAAATAGTGCCAAGAAAAATGACAGTAACTGAGTTTTGAAAAGAGAAAATTCACGCTGAAGCACGCACACATCGGCTTTGCAATAAATAATTCAAACTACTTGTTCAAAATTTAAATTGTCGATGGAACAACAGTTGATTGAAAATCGCAATCAGTTATTGAACTCAAAGATTGTAAATTGTCAGAAAATCTTAATTCATCAAAATTCATCTTACTCCATTGCTTTCATGAATAAGAATATACTACACTTTTATTTAAAAAGCTACAAAATTTACTAATTGGTACAATTAATTACAAAAAGATAGTCTTCAGATTGCGCTAAGGAACTTCTAAAGACTTCGCGCATCGAATACCTTCAGAATTTTTTATTCAAACGATAGCAGCAGAAAAAAGGGTTTCCAGGATATATTTCGTTCTTCCTTTCTTGGAGTACCGACTCACCGTTTCCTCCATAACGCAACAGGGCCAACAAAATAATCACGCAAAAATTGGAAAACAACCGTTGCTATTTCGAATTTTTTTCGCCGTTTAATCGGTAGAATATGTAGCTCGGTTAGAACCAGAATTAAATGACTTCTATAGTCCAAACAGAAAACAAAATGAGCAGCTGCATTCTGAAGTTGATAAATCTGATTAGCGGCTAGCTCTAAATACCCGAACACGTCTTTCATTTGAGAGACAACTTTCTCTATTATCAACGCGAGAGCCACAAAGAGCGATTAAAAAAACTTACAAGTGGCTGTGGTCAGCATACTTGTGGTATCGCATTGTGTACTTTCTCAGTACATCCCCACCAACGAGAAAATCAACAATTAACAGAAAAGGTCTCAGTACCGCGCCTACTGGCAAGCCTCTGTTCAATTTTCGAGTGGGCCATTTGTCGCCCTCACATACCACTATATCAGTTCTGTCAGTCAAATTTTTGTGAAACCAGTGAGTGCTTTCCCTTCAGCTCAAAATATTTTGCTAAATTGAAAGTAGAGAAATGTGATGTTGAGTATCCTAAGCTTTATTAATTGAAAATAGCGACGAAATTTTTAGGATGGCTGTTTCAGTCAGTTAATGGGTTGATAAATAAGCAGACTGGTTTGAGGCTAACATACAAATACCATAATTTGAAGCTTTAGCTGCAAGATTTTCTAGAGACGTTCGGAAATTTTCAAAATTGATTGAAATTATCACCCTCTAGGATGCCTTCTTGAGCAAGAAGGATTTCTGGCGAATCTTCAGCGGTTTTGGACACTTGCCGTTAAGTAAACTTTTCGAGTTTATAGCATCAGCAAAAAAGAGACCATTGTGAATGCTTTCAAGTCAATTTAAACCTCTGCCGATGTCGAGATATTTTCACCTAGCATGTCCAAATGATCCCGTTTAATTTGCTTTCACGCGCGTTAATTATTCAGAAACAACAACACTTCAAGTCTTTCGTTCAGCATGCAGTCCAACCCTAAATGTGTTGCCATTTGATCACGTGCTTTTGTATGACAGCTTGAAGTCACTAGCGGTATAAACTTTGCAGAAAAAAGCAGCGTTTTTTTTAGAAGCTCTATCAGAACACAAGCATCGTGCCTTGAAAATCCAATGAAGAAAATCTGCTATTGGATGTGGTCTGCACACTTAAGGTATGGCACATTCATTTCTCTCAGTAAAACGCCAACAACGAGACAAAGAAGTCTCAGGAGCATGCTAAAATCCACACTTACCCCTTTTTCTATTGTCGATTTGTCATTCTCACATATCACATGTCTCATCGGTCACCTTTAGTTAGTTTCGTCGGTCACCTTTATGTGAAACCAGGTGAGTGCGTTCTACCTTGTCCCAACCTATGTTGAAAAATGAAAGCAGAGCACCATGATGCAAAGTACTGAAGACACTTTTTATGGAGCAGTTTTTTCTATATCCATCGTTGCAGCTATATCAGAAGAGACTTTCAGGAAAGCTGTTTCAAATAAACGGTTGAATAAATAAGCAGACTAGTTTGAGTCTAACAGACAACTACTAGGAGATTATTTATCAAAGCTTTAGTTGCAAGTTTTTCTGCCTACTTAATCTGGGAGAATGCCTGGCCAATCTTCGAAAGTCTGGAGCTTCGCCTGTTATAATTGAATTATTCGAACATTTCAGAATAGCATCTGCAAAAAATACGATAGACAGATTTGAATGTTTTCAAGTCAAAATAAACATCTGCCGATGTCGAATTCTTTTCAATCAGCATGCTCAAGTGTTCCCGTTCAATTTGAGACACATCACCGAAACTAGTACACGCCACAACGGGATGTTTGACAGGCAGATACTTTTCAAGAAAAAACTAAGTCTTGCATTCATAGAAGCATGCAGTCTTCGGTTGAATTTCCGAAGCGAGCACAACGATAATGAGTTT